TCATCCTTGTAGGTCTCTGGAGATCTTTCTAGTTCCAGATCCTAAGAGGTTCTTTATAACATCCTGTTACTGAGACACTCCACAGTTTCCTGGAGTGTATGTTTTCTATCTCTGATAGAAAAATAATAAGCTCAACCTATCAATTATGGATGCAATCTTTGTTTGAAGGCCATGGTGGCAGAACAGTTCATGTCTTGATCTGCAAGCAGGAGGCAGAGAAAGAAAATTGGGAATAGCATGACTTTTTGAAACCTCAAAGCCAGCTCCCAGGGACATACCTTCTCCAACAAGATCATACCTCTTAATCCTCCCCAAACAATTCCACCAACTGGGGAACCAAGTATTCAAACATAAGAGCCTATGGGGCAATTCTCGTTCAAACCACCATACTGATGCTATATTATGTGTTTAAATTATATATTCATATTTGTTTATTATAGGTTCCTCCCATTATCATTTAAGTTTCATGAAAATTGGAATTGTGCCTTGATGGTAGCTATATCCACAATACCTAGAACCTTGACTGGCCCTGAGTTGGTACTAATTAATATGCATTAATGCATATTAAGCAACTTAATGAATAGATTTATATTGTGTTCATTCTTATAAATTTCATTCTGTTGCACAGTTAAAATTAATCTTATTGTTTGGTCTCATCCTCTAATCGGATAAGTTCATTATAAAATATCCATTCTCAGGAGTGATGAGCAAAGGGGTCAAGATCACGCTAGTGAAACCCACAGAAACAGCTGACCTGAACGAGACGGGGGAGCTCTTGGCTCCCAGACTGATAGCTGGGAACAGTGTGGAACTGATGCAGACACCATGGATGCGGGTGTCTGTGAGGAGGCCTCGGAGGTCTATGGGGCCTCTTGTGGTAGAACAATCAGTACTTGTCCCTAGCGTAGGAATGGACTTTGGGATCCCATTTCACATGGAGGGATACTCCCTCAGCCTGGACACGTGGGGGAGGGCCGGGGTCCTATCCCAAGGGATGTGACAGACTCTGAGGACCCCCCCCCCGTGGAGGGCTTCACTCTCCCTGGGGAGCAGAGATGGTATTGAGTGGGTGGGGTGTTGGTGGGGAGTGGGAGAGCAGGGGAGGGAGAAGGAACGGGGATTGACATGTAGGACAATCTTGTTTCTAATTTAAATAGAAAAACATTTTTAAAAATATCCATTCTCTCTCTCTCTCTCTCTCTCTCTCTCCCTCTCTCTCTCTCTCTCTCTCTGCTTCCCTCCTCTCTCTCTTCCTGTGCATGTGATATGTGTACATGTGTGGTATATGTGCACATATGCATGAAGGTGTGCATGCATATGTATGTACACACCTGTAGAGGCCAGAGATTAATGTGAATATCTTCCATTATTGCTCTATACCTTATCTTTTGAGACAGAGTCTCACAGTGAACCTAGAATTCACCTTGTGACTAGACTAGCTGACTAGAGAACTCCAGGATTACAGAGTTTTCAAACTGGCTTTTCTCTGGGTGCCTGTTGTGGCTTGGATATGAATGGCCCCCTTAGGCCCAAGTACTTGAATGTCTGGTTCCTGGTAGGTAGAAATGTTTGGGAAGGATCTAAGGTGTTGGTCTTATTGGAGGAAGTATGTCACTGGGAGATGGATTTGGAGAGCTTAAAAGACTTGGTACCATTTTAAATTTGCGCTCTCTATTTCTTGCTTTTATTTCAAGATGCAGGGTCTCAGCTTGCTGCTCTAGCCACCACACCTGCTGCCTCAGCTCAGCTTTCATGGACTCTTACCCTCTTGAGCTGTAAATTGGTACATCCACTGTGGAAATCAGTGTGAAGTTGCCTCTGAACTCTACCACTCCTGGGCATATACTCGAAGGATAATATTTCCTACTATAAAGACACATGCTTATCCATGTTTATAGCTACTCTGTTCACAATAGCTAGGACACAGAAACAGCCTAGTTCTTATCAACTGATGAGTAAATAACGAAAATGTGTTAACTATATACAATGGGATTTTACTCAGCTATATGACGTTTTCATGAACCAATCACCAACAGTTACATGAAAGACTCTAAGTCCTACTGAGGATGAAATGCTATGGAAATAATAACAGTAAACAGCACAAATATTATTACCTTCAAGATAGGGTTCAATCGACACTGTTTTGTTTATTCTGTTCTTGTAAAATACTTTCATCCCTGTTTAAGGATCTACTGAGCCCTCTAAAAAGAGAGAGACTTGGCTTACCTGGTGTGTATTTGCTGCAGATCAGATGTGATCATTATTAATGGCAATGGAGCTAATAAGGTATTGCATAATTTAATATTCATTTAATAAGGGTTATCCAAATACAGGTTTCTTCTTGAAAGTAGACACTGTAATTTGGTTATCTTGTTATCCTACAATTTGAATGACGAGTTAAGAAACTTTAATATGCAGTTTATATTTCAAGGTGGCTCATCATCCAAGCAATAGGCTAACACAACAGATTTCAAATTTGGAGAAGAAATGAAACGCTGAAAGTTTTTAAGCCCTGGGGGCTCACACAGAGTTTGAACAAACAAGACAAGCTTGCCATCTA